GAAATATATATATATATAGATAAATATATATTGGAAGCGAGAGAGCAAATACGACGATATAGAAGACGAGAATAGGAGTGCGGCAGAATATATTCCGATATTATTCGAATAAAATCATTTTCTTATATAATTGATTAGAAATCTAAAATGATCAAGATAGTATAAAGATCCGATATATAAATTAAAAAATCATAATAGGATCATATATTTCAATTCCGATAAAAATCTGAAATTATAAATAAAATAATAATTGATTCAGATTTAAATAGGGAAAAATAGATAATAAATATCGATTTATAAGAAATATATCTCGATTCCCGATTATCCATAAAACTACAAAAAAATAGATTATAAAATATACGAAATCATTAAAATTAGATATAAATAATTGATCCTACAAATTATGATTTTAGATAAATATGATTTTATATTTATTTGATTTTTAGATCATATTAGATTTTAGGTCATATATCTATATTCGTCCTAAATCGAATAGCAGAAATTTTATCAATCAATATTAATATAATTCAAATATTGAATATAAGCCTTTCGATTTTCAGAATATAAAGCAAATAAGTCAATCTCCAAAATCATCAAGAAATGATATGAGATCCTAAATATATGATCGAAATCAAAAGATTCAGAAAAGATTTTATAATTAGAAAATTCCTCCAAATCTATAAATCTAATCAGAGTTTTCTATTCCCCCAAAATTATGATTCTTATAAATATTAATTAGACCTCCCCCTAATATAATCAAATTTCATATATAATAGAATTTATAAGACAAGAAGAACGTATTCCTGTAAATTCACAATCTTTATATACTTGATTTTTTTTCCGAGATATATATATATTCTCTCTATATATTTCTATGAGCGACGAAATTTAGATAATATTTTCTAAAAAGATTCGTACCTTTATTACGAGCCATTATCTTATTGCCAGATTCCAGATATATATCAGAGATTTAGAGATATCATTCGAATATATCTATTATAATATATATCTTATAAAGACCTAATATTATATCAACAACAACGAGAATAATAAAACCCAAAATAAGGCCGTACCAAAACTAATATCAATAGAATCAGAAATAATAATAATAATAATAGTAATATTTTTTGAAATTTTAATAAAAAAAACTACGAATATTATTAACAATACTAGTATTAATAATACCCGCCTAAGAAGTCGGGCGCGAGATTCAAGACGTATCTTAATTTCTATCAGAAAGCAGAAATTGCTGAAATTTAAAAGTGTTTTTTTAACCGGAATCGGGTGGTATAAATCGAGCGCGGAATTTAAGACGTATCTTGGTTTTTATCAGAAAATAAAGATTTTGGATCTAGATTTTTTTTTTGGTATTTATTCTATATTTAGAAATCTAATGAAATTTTCAGTTATTCTCTCTTATCGATATGATAATTTAGAATTAAGTAAGTATCAAATATTATCGAGATCAAGAAATTCAAATTTTAGTCTTGAGATGGATATCTATATTGAAATGTAGTGATACCTATTATCTATAATATTATGGAGGAATTTCTTAATGCTAGAAGTTTTCGCCGTTCGGAATTCATATTTCTTATCGTCGTGATCTGGCCTAGGAGTGGTTTGTAAAGGAGATCCACATAATATGATAAAGAATTCGACTAATTATCCACCTCGAATCAGAACCACAGTCTTTTACAAAGGATGTGCATGCTACACATCACGCCTGTCGCCATGCCTGTCTTGTCTGATTCATATCTATTTTCAGGTGAGCTGCGCGAACAACATGATGACTGGCAGGAGTTGCGAGTGGTGGAGTTTGAAAACCCCTGTCGCAAATCCGTGCCCAATTGAATTGCGCGGTTTAGCGACTTTGGGTTCAAACGCTTCGATGCTTCTGAACGTCGATCTCTGCGAACACCGCGACTGTCTGGTGCAAGACCTCCCTACTTCTACGCGTGGCAGCATCGAAGCGGCCAAACTCCAAGTTTTAGCCTACCGTGGGTGGTTCTCGTGCTGGATGGAGGCCTCGTAACTTTTTGTCCTTAGGTAGGATTGACGACCCGTTTACCACAGCCAGCCGAATCGCAGTCATAAAACACACAACTGGTGTAAGGAGCCGGCACACCTTTCGCACTGAAGTAATGTTCTCGAGGATCCTCGACGTGCTGCGTGCCTGTGTGTAAAGCACGGCTTGGCCTTCAACTTTACAGAATAAGACTTTTGGGTTATAGTAGAAAAAATACTCATCGTAAGGAGCGCGAAAGAATAGTTCTACGAACGGCTGCATTCAGGCTCCTATATTGCCTATGGCTTCGTGGTGTGACCTTGATGGGGGATTGGGGCACATGGGGACTCAAAAAACGGCGAGAGAACCAAACAAGCTGTTTATGTTTTGTCGAGTCCGAGTCAACACACAGCTCATGCACCTGAGCTGTAAGATGCGTTCTTACTTGGAGGTTCATGGGTGGTTATAAGTGGGGTTATAAGTCCCCCCTAATATGGGTTATAATTGTAGTTACCCTACTTATAACCCTACTTATAACTACCCGTGAACCTCCAAGTACTACTTGACGTTACGGCTGCGGAAGCTGCAGCACACAACATCTTAAGAGTTTCATGTGTGCTGGTCGCACCACCCACTTCCAACCAATAATGATTTGTATACTCGGAGGGCCTCTAGACTGTTGTGACAGGCATCTTAATAGTCTACAGGAATCCAGAGCCCTTCCATCCTTCCAAATGATGTAGGGGACGGTACCACTACAAGAATCGATGACTGCAGGAAGCGATGCACTAGTCATCCACCAGACAAGCTGATTTTTTGCCTCCCACCTGGCTAGAACGAGCCCGCAAAGCAGGGTTGCGTCTAGAGAACAGCTGAACGTACAGCAACCCTCCCATGAGAAGTCACACTAGCCAACCCCAAACACAACCGGACACAGCCTCTACATGCACTACACCCTACGTGCCCTCCACATCCTCAAAATCTCTTTATTGTATGTACTCGACACGGTCGCCTGCAGTGGCAGCAGGCTCCTGCCGGTCCACAGGGCGGCATCGATATTGACTTGGGTGGTTCATGTCAAGCGACGCAGATTTCGGCCATGAACATCTGCCACGATTCGAAATTCTTTGGATTGAAGGTGCTTATTGATCGCCGTTTGCTGAGGAATGAAGACAGCACAAAAATAGGGGGTTCAGGGTTTAAGGTTTCGGGTGAACTCTAAGCCGTGACGTCGTGCCGTGCTCGGCCCCGGACCTGTATACGCAGATGGCGTCGACAAGTGTGGCGGACATGCTTCGCACATGCCGAGCAGATATGTCCTGAAGTTGTCGCGAGTCGGTCGCGCGTCGGAGTCGTAAGCGAACCGGTGCCCGAAGTGTAAACGCGTTGGGGCTGGTGGCTCCTATCAGAGCTTTTCTATTCTCCCGCTCGGCCGGTCTCTCGTCGGTGAAAATGACAGAGCAAACTGGCCCTGTTTACCCTGAACTCAGAACAGGGGCCAAGGCCCCTGGTGCTCACCTCAATGTGATGAAACGGTTGCCCCAGGTGAATATAT